CGTTCACTTTCAGGCTCCGTTACCCTCAGGAGTGAGATATCAACTAAACTCACCATGGCCTGTGGAAAATGGTGCCAGTATTCAGTACAATTGCCCTATCTGAATACACTCATGCCCCTTAGCTCCCGCCCCCGCATTTATTATGCCAGCTCACCCCTGTCCTGTCACCATGGCTGGGACTGCTGCTGTGCTCTTTGAATCCCAAGGAGAAGTGAGAATACAGTGATTGTAACTGATGTGGATCAAGTGGAGTGAATACACTCACAATAGCACCTCTGTGCATTGTATCTTTTGCAGCTGGAAATGTGGCCCTGAGGGTCTCTCCATCAACACCTGTGGAGTGGCTCAGCCAAATACGGAGGAGAAGGAAGAGGTCACAGGATGACATGTTCCAAGAGATCCTGCAAGCCTCTGGTGTTGTGGATACCGAGCAGAGGGCTGGAGTATCACCCTCGTGGACAGCATGAACAGGGATAGAGTAGAGAGGAGAACGGCACAGGAAAAGGAGAGGGATGTGCAGCAAGAGTGATAGCGCTTCTCAAGTGGGAAACAGACACGCTGGAGACTCTTGTTGACCTTCAGGTTCAACAGTCCCTTGCTCGCCTCCCTCAGCTGCCCATAGAGAACTGCATTCTGGGACCTCCCTACACCTACTCCTTCCATTCCAGGAGAAAGGGTCCACCATCTGCAGCTGCTCTGTGACTGCCAACAACAACCTTGAATTGTTTCTTTCCATAGCTCACAGAAAGCTAGCCTGTAAGGAGTCGTTATATTCCACAAGGCTCCTCTTGCAGCTCTGGAAATACTGCAGAATCAGGTGCATTGTGTTCACAGCGCTTATCACAATAGTGCAGAGCTGTGTAGGATCCATGCTTCTCACAGATGGTTTGTGGGTCTATTGAAAAAGGGACACGAAATGTTATGGGATGCAGATAAAATTATGGGACAGAGAACACTGCATCATGGGATACTGAAACCATGTTCCCAGTCACCCCTGCTCGTTTGCATCCATGAGACTTTGCAAACCCTTTCAAAAAGGCTCTGCACTAGATGGTGGTAAGTTGCACAGTGGGATAGCTACCCATGATGCACTGCTCTCTGCATCGATGCAAGTGTGCATAGGTGGCGAGTTCTATATCCATGTGGTGCTCCGGCATCAGCAATATTCAGAGCCTAGGGGCCCAGCTCCACCAATATTTGGTGCCGGGTGTTCCCCCGGCCCCACCTGCACCCCCCCGCACGCCCCCCAGCCCCCTCTTGCCTTCTCTGGGCTCTGGAGCACAGCTGCTACTCTGAAAACTGACACACTGTCTCTTTCGTGCAGTTCCATGTTGCCTCCCTGCAGCAACTGCTACCGCAGGGTCCTAGTGCCCCCCAACTCCACTGCCAGGGCAGACTGACTCTGAGCCTGCCCTTCCCCCTCAAACCCTTCCCTTTTCCAGCAGGACCCTCCAGCAGCACAGCCCCCCGCCACCCGGAGTCACCGCTCCGG